AACGCAGATTGTTGATAGATCGTCCACCAATCCTAACGCCACGCTTCTCATAGAACCCAGCCTCTCGGATAATCTGCTCTGCATACAGGTTGAAAAGATATGGAGAAAGGACACATCCGTGGCATACACCCTTCCCACTTTTGAACCATGCAGTCTTGTCCTGCTCTGTTCTGACGACTGCCTCTTGGTCCAAGTATAGGTTTCCATTAGCACGATTAAATGTTCTGGGATTCCCATTCTTCTCAGTCAGCCACAGTTTGTTATGATCCACACAGTCAAATGCCTTTGCATAACCAATGAAACACAGATAGACATTCACTGTTAAAAGCCAGATTCAAAGCCTTTGCTCTTAATCACAGTATTAAATAGTTTCAATTCTCCAATGTACTTTTAGGAAGGTAATGTTCACATGCTTAGTTGTTTTTTTTTGTTTTTTGTTTTTTAACTTTTTAAAAGAACTTTTTGTCATCATACAAAATGCATATATATTGTATTTAATTCATTTATATTGTGTTTCACAGTCTTCCATTCACATTGTTTCATACCATAATTCCCATACATTGTTTCATAAAACCAATCACCATCGATCTATACCCACTACCACCCATCTTTTCAGATCTCCACTGTATATTTCATAATTCCTTCACCACCTCCTTCTATGCATCAGACTCTGTGACCTAGTAACCTAGTGATTTACCCCTCTTCTTACTCTGGAGCCCCACCTCCTGTCCCTTTTCCCTTTGAACTTTTATATACATTTTTCCAATTATCTTTATGTTTTTACAAGAATGGTCTTGTGCAGTATTTGTCAGCATGAGACTGAGTTAGTTTACTTAGCATAATGGTCTCTAGCATCTCTAATGTTTATAGTATTTTGTAAAATTGTTGCTCCTGAATGCCACACGGTGTGAATGCACCACAATTTCTCAATCCATCTGTCTCCAATGTACTTTGACCAGTTTTTCTCAAGTTCTATTTTCAGACTATGATGCTACATTTCTGGGTTTTATCAGCAAAACACTACTGCAGTAAAAACTCTTGGTTACCTTCTCCATTGTTGTCCAGGCCTGGCGTAATGGAGTTGTGAAACAGTTGGGGAGTGGCCCACCTTCTCTACAGATATTAGATTCAATTTCTAACCGTACAATGTCATCAAAACCAAGGGGATGTGTGGCTTGAAGGGAGAAGTACCTGTGACCAAAAAAAAAAAAAAAAAAGAAGAAGAGAAAAAAAAGAAAAGAAAAAAGATAGCTGTAGTAAAACTGTGCCATCCACTTCTGAAATAGCTTGCCTCTGGAAACCCTATGAACTTGGAAAAACAAAGAAAGTTCATAGGGTCGCTATGAGTCATCTACGACTCGACAGCATCTAACAACAACAACGAGAAAGCTCAGTTGGCCTAAAGGACAGAAAGTGATGCTACCAAGCCAAAGGTGGGTGATTTTAATCTGCATCTCTCAGGCCTGTTTTTAATTGTCTTTGGTCAAACATTCTTCTAGGTGGTATAGCACTGCTCTGTCGATTTGCTGTACAGAGAGGTAACTTGTGGTGGCTATAATGCTGAACACTGTGACCCTATGCAAGTGCCAAATGCAATACTGGCCACCCATAGCGGATAGAGCTTGGCAGTATTCCCTGATTAAAACAAGCTTGGAAGCAGGAGTGGCATCCACTTCCGAAATAGCTTGCCTCTGGAAACCCTATGTACTTGGAGAAACAAAGTTCATAGGGTTGCTATGAGTCGCCTATGACTTGACGGCATTTAACAACATAACAACATAGTAAAACTACACTCCATAGAAGTCTAAGCAACTTTTGGTACCTACACAATAGAGTATTATGTGAGGCTATAAGATTCAGACCTGTAGACCTAGAACTGGTAATACCTCTGCTATAAATTTATTTGCTCCCACTTTCTCTAAGCCATGTAGGAGTTACCTTCCCCTATTCTTGGCTACTGTTCTATTAACTCTACTACTATTTGAAGGGTCTAGGGACAAGTTGCAAGTAGAGCAACAAAACCAATCAATCACACATATTTAATGGGAATTTAATTTTGTTTGACTTGATAGGTAGATATGGATTTAAAAGAGGAATATTCTATGTATGGAGGGATTCAATATAGACAAAGCATTACACCAAATATTAACTATGACAGAAAAAGAAGGTTCAGTAATTAAAAACAAAAGGGCACTGAGGATAAAGTATAGAATTATTAATAAATAAAATAATCAATTAATCAGGCAGTAACATGATAGCAACTGATGCTTTGATATGGTGATAATGAAGTAGAAACAAAAACATTTAAAAGCAGGAAGAAACCAACATATGCTCTTAGAAGCATCATTCTAAGTTGGTTTCTATTTTCTGACAGAAATAAAAGAAGATTGATAATTCATTAATAGTGGTAATTTTATGTTGTGGTTTTATGCCATTGAGTTGGAATCAAGTCTTAGCTGGTGCTTAAGTAGGATTTTAGAGGACGTAAATCACAGGGGAGAAGACTGTCCATCTTTCCCCTGAGGAGTAGTTAGTGCCTGCCTTCAGGTTACCCACTGGGCCACCAGATTTTTCAAATTATCTATAAGATACGAAAATCTAAGTAGGGATTGGAAAAGTCAAATTTGGCACAATTGAACATAGCAGGATAACAATGCTGGTAGGATGTCAAGGGAGCTCTGGTGGATTAGCGGTAATGAGCTGTGTAGCCAACCCAAGTCAGGCAGTTATAATCTATTAAACTGAGAGAAAGATGGGCAATCTTCTCCTGTGCAATTTAGTACATCTGAAAATCCACCGGAGTGAGATGAGATTCTTCAGTATATAACAATAAACACCACCATAGCAGTGGGATGTCACGGAACAATTTTCATTTAAATATGGCTATCAATGTGAGAAGGGAGCACTGGCAGCCTGGTGGTAACAAGCTGCGCTGCAAACATGAAGGCATGTGGTTCAAATTCATCAAGTGTCTGCAAGAGAAAGACAGGCAGTCTTCCTCTACGTAATTTACTGCCTTTAAAAACTCACTGCAGGGTAAGCTATGGTTAGCTCCAACTTGAAGGTACCCAGCCACCAACATGAGAATGGAACCCAGAAGGAAAGCAGAGGATCTGCAGTATGGTTACTAAACTATATATAGCCAGGCCTTCTGAGGGCTACCAGCATAAAAAAAAGACGACAAAGTATTTTTTTTCCCCTAATAGAAATTCCCATGACCATTTGCATTTTCTACCACTGAAGACTTAAAGAGATTGAAACTGTTGACAACTTCATCTTACTCCACAATTAACATCCTTGGTACCAGCAGTCAGGAAAGAAGGAGATGCACCGGGAAAACCTGCAGTTAGAGACCTCTCCAAATTATTGAGAAGTAATGATGTCAGTTAGAGAACTAAGGTGCGTCTGATTCAGGCCATACCCTTTCTGATTACTTGTTATGCCCGAGAGCTGGACAATGAATAAGGATGACAGAAAAAGAACTGATGCCTCTGAGCTGTGGTGTTGGAGAAGAGCACTGAACATCCCATGGATGACTAAGAGAACAAACAGAGGGTGCAGCTAGAGTGCTCTTTGGAGGCAAGAATGAGAAGGCTTCACTCCACATACTTTGGGCATGTTGCCAGGAGGGGCTATTCCCAGAAGGACATGATGCTGAGAAGGGTGGAGGGTCAGTGAAAGAGAGGAAGGCCCTCAATCAGGTGGACTGACACAGTGAATACTGCAATGGGCTCTTGTATGTTAGGAAGTGTGAGGATGGCACAGGATAGAGCAGATCTTTTTTTCCACAGGTCACTATGAGTCACACTTGATTCAACGGCACCTAACAACAACAACTTTAACATCCACATAAACAATGTTTCTTATGTTTTCTATGAATATATTAGAATAAACATTGGACACAATACTAAGAATATCATCCTAATCCAGGTTCTGCAATTGTACTATGATTCTGGTAAGTATTTCTCACAATGGGCCTTACATGCCCTATCATAAAATAGGAAAAATTCAGACTAATCTGAATATTCATCTGGAGTGTCTTCTATTAAAGTAAAATCTCTTAAGAGATTAGATGAGAACTGGAAATCTATTTTTAATAAGCTCCTAGATGAGTCCTCCGTAGACAGCTCAGAAGGAGCCTGCAGACTAATCAGAGCCACTGACCTGGATACCCTCAGTGCTCTATCCCATGGATTTCTCTGTACTTCTTATCTATAATCTACTCAATTACATTAACAAAGAACTTTTCTTTACAAAACAAGTTAAGTGAAAAGAAGGAATCCCTACAGAAAAAAAGGGAACACCATATTATAAAGTTGTCCATAGCCTTCATTTGATGAACCTTATGTTTTCAAAGAAATTATCCTCACATTTTCCGTGAAAGCTAATGAAAAACAATTACTCATTCAGAAATTAATCTGGCTGAGCAGATTTTTACAGAAATAAACCTTCATATAGATACTAAAGTCCTTTTCAAGTTTATTCAATTAGTTTCATTGATCATTTTCTATATAGCTCACCACTTCAAGTCTCTTCAAAGTATCAAATATCTCAGTTTCTATAACTTTTCTTGTGTAGCCTGACTGCTGTTGTCAGGTTTCATCAAGTCAAGTATGACTCACAGAGACCTTATGAACAACAGACCTGAGCCCTGTCCTATCCTGTGTTATCCTTATTATCCCTGACATATTGAAGCCATTGCTATTATCACTGTGTCTATTCATACTGTTGAGTGTCTTCCTCTCAAAATTCAATCAATTCTTTGGGATTCAATTTAAATTTTCCTAAAGAGCTATCTGGCTATACCTCTTCCAAGACAGATCTGTGACTACTACTTAAATCTTGCCTAGAACTGTCCTGCATGCCACACTTAAATATACATTTCCCCAACAGATGGCAAAGGTTTACACAGGCCATAAGAAAATAGTACCCTTTGCATCTCCCACACTGAGAATTCCTTGACAGCAGAAAATGAGTTCATTCGTTGTTTCTGGTACATTTCAAATGCTTTGCAGAAACTAAATGTACATTTGAATAAAACTCACTTGTCATATAAAATCATGGCATCATTCTGTGCCTCTTGCCCATCATACTGGCCCTTTTTGGCAGCAAGCTGAGACTGGAAGTTATCTCCAGCTAACCAGAACTGTAAGATATTCATAGCATCCTCTTTTTCCATGTACTAGGAAAGAAAAAGATAAAAAGAATTTGAACAGGTTCCTCTCAAATATTAAAGCGAAGTATTTAAATATGAGACATAAGCAAAAAAGGTCACTTGTTATTTAATGCCAGTCAACAACTTACAGTAATTTTACATTGGCATACTAAAAATCTATGTTTTGAAGGAGAAGGGAAATATCAAAACAAGAAACCAACAAATTCAAACCAATACAATACAGATAGAAGTAAATTTTAGTGAGGTAAAAAATTACACTTAAAATGGATTAATGGTTTCTTAATGACAAACACACTAAATAAGCCAAATAGAATCTTTTATACCTGATTATTGTCAATAATCCATGCTCTCATATTAGCTTGAAGACTAAGCTTACTGCAAAGAGAGGGAATGGGGAAAAAAGTAATTTGCGGAACAACTATATTATGTGAAAAGGCAAATTACTGCTTTGTTAAGATTGGAAAAAAAATACTTATTGACACTTAATAGTTGTAATACTGGTGGCACAGTAGTAAAGCATAAAGAAATATATGCCAGTGTGCAAAAGAGCCAATAGGCATATGGCCAGCTCAATGCTGTCCTACAGAATACAACAGCCTGAATTAACTCGAACACGACGGGTTTAGTTTGTTAATGAGGCTGGTAGTGTAACTATTAGGGAGCTCGTGTGGTCTAATGGCAAGAAACTGCACTGCAATCCCAAAGGTAAGCAGTTCAACGCCACCAGTTGCTCCACAGAGAAGGATGGGCAATCTCCTCCTGTGCAATTAATTGTCTCTGAAAACTCACCATAAGGGCCGCTACGGGTTGGTTCCAACTTAACAGTACACAACAAGTGTAACTATTAATTGCTAGACTACTAAATGAAAAGCTGGCAGCTGGAACTACTTAGCAGCGTCATGGGACAAGAACCTAGAAAACAATATTTGTTTAGTGTTCAACTCCAACTTACAGTGACCCTATGTACAAGAGAATGAAAACAATGCTATCTTAAGCCATCTTCTCATTGATTCTATGTTTGAGCCTGTTGTTGCAGCCACTGGGTCAAGCCAGAAAAGCTAAGGACCTTGTTTGTTACTTACCCTGTATTTTACCACATGTAGTATTTGTTGACATGGACTGTGCTCTTTGGATAAGCAAACCATGTGAGAGGAAGTGTCATTATCCTGGCTTCTAAGGAATAATCTGGCTGTACTTCAACAGGTTTGTTCATTCTTTTGGCAGTCATGGTTGGTAACTTAAATGCATCACTTCTTTGTATTCCTTATTCACAGTTCAGATTTTGCATGTATACGAGAAATACACCATGGCTTAGTTTAGGTGAGACACGTCTTAACTTGTCAAAGTGACATTTTTCTCTTTTAATACTTTAATTATGTTTTTACTTAACAGATTCATCCAATTTTCCAGGGGCGATGACTTCTGTGTTTTTTGTTGATGGTGTTGATTGCCTTCGAATTGAGTATGACTCATAGCAACCCTATGAACAAAAGGTCTGATGCCCCTCTACAACTACAGACATTTATCAAAGTTCATAGAGTTTCTGAAGGCATGTTATTTTGGAAGTGGATATCACTCCTGCTTACAAACCTGTCATAGTATGTGCCATTTAGCTGCCTGTGATATATAGCGACCCTATGTATAGCAGCTCTAAACCTTTCCTGTCCTGAGCCAGTCTCAGTAATTCTAACACACCTACCCCCATTGCCCGAATTACTGTATCAATCCATCTCATCCAGGGCCTCCCTACGCTGTACTGTTTGTGCATCCCCAAGGACTGATCTGTCCTGGCCATGTGCCCAAAGTAAGCAAGGCAGAGCTTCAAAATCCTAGCCTCCAAGAAAAGATTTGGTTTCACTCTCTCCAAGACAGACCTACTTGTTTTCTTAGCAGTTCATGATATTTTCAAGACTCTTCTCTTCTCCAGCACAACTCAAAGGCATCTATTCTTCTTCTGTCATCTTTAGTCACTCACTGTCCAACTCTCTGAAGCATAACAAATAATTGAGAAGACCATGGCCTGGATTAGACACACCTTTGTATCTAGGCTAACATTGTTGCTCTTCAGCACTCTGGAGAGGTCCATGACAGCAGATTTTCCCCAATGCAATTAGTCTTTTGATTTCCTGATTGCTAGTCTTAAGAGTGCTGACTATAATTGCTAACAACCTCAATCTCTTCTCCACTTAATATGGTGCTGCCAATTGGCCCAATGGTGAGAATCTTTGTCTTCTTGATATTGAGCTTCAATCCATATTAAAGATTACAGTCCTTGACCTTTTACAGCAAGTGCTTCAGGTCTTCTTCAGTTTCAGTTGTGTCATCTGCACATTGTAGGCTGTTAAATGAGTCTTCCTCCAATCTTGATACCACACTCCTTCTTATAAAGACCTGCTTCACGAATGACCTGTTCTGCTCTGTATTAGTAAAATAAAACATCGATGTCTATTTATTCTGTTTATAATGGAATTATTTATTGGTCTAGTTTTGAGGATTTTAGTTTTTGTTCTGATGAATACTCCAAGTGGTGGTCTTTGTTCTCTGTTAATAAGTGATTGAAGTCTTCTTTACTATCAGCACACAAGGTTGCCTTATAAGGTTGCACATTGTAGGTTGTTGTTAGTCTTCCCCAACCTTAATACAGTATTCTTTTCTACACAGTCAAGGTTCTCCAGATTCTTTGCTCAGCATATAGATTAAATAAGGATAGTAAACAGATATAACTGTTCCGTACAACTTTCCTGCTAAGCACACAGAATTCACTTGTTTGTTGTAAACAACATTGTCTCTTGGTCTGTGTACAAATTATGCATGAGTGGAATTAAGTGCTTTTAAGTCTCGTTCTTTGAAATATTATCCATAATTTGTTATGATCTTCATAAATGATATTCATCATTCATCAATGCCTATTCAATAGAAAAACACAGAAATATGTTTCTGGTGTCCTCTGCTTTCATTAGCAATGATAACCTTTTAACTCCAGTTTGAATTTCTTGAATTTAACACCAGTTCCTTGTGGATGAACTATAACTACTTTCATTATACTTAACAAAATTTTACTTGCATGTGGCATTTATGTCATTTCGACATTCTGTTCTATCATCCTTCTCTCAAATAGTTACTACTAACATGGTTGTCTTCCAGTGGGTTGACCAGATAGCCTGTCTTCCAAATTCCTTAGCATAAACAAATAAGTCATTATTTCAATAAACATTCCAATAAATTACTAAATTATTATATATTATAATATGCATGTCAATTGGCATTCTATCAATTCTATGAACCTTGTTTTTCATTAGTGCCTTCATGCAACTAGGGTTTCTTCTTTCAATACCATTGCTCTTGATCATACATCATCTCTTGAAATAGCTTAACACGGACCAATTCTGCTGGGTGCAATAACTCTGCATATTAATTCTACCTCATTTTCATGTTTCCTGTGATAAGACTATTCTGCTCACAGAATCTTTTTCATTCAAGTAACTCAAGGCGTTGATCTTCAGTTCTTTCAGCTTAAGAAATGGTCAGTATTTTATATTCTCTTTTGTCCTTCTAACTCAAGGTCTTTGAACACTCTGCTATCACAGCTGCCTTTGAAATACTCTGTTCAATTCTTTTACTTTATCAACTTTCTAATTTGTTTTAGCTATTCATTGTTCAAGAACAAGGTTCAGAGTCCTGGTTGTTTGAGTTTTTTTTTTCCCTTTTAGTGACTTTTCCCTTTCTCCTTGAAATATCTGGCCTTTAGTCATCAGTGTTCAATGTGTCAAATCTATTCTGGGAGCTGTTTCTAAGTTTTCTCATAACTCATTGCAATCTAGCTGGAAATGACTAATAGCTGGCTCTCTAGTGGGTTTTGGAGGCTGTAATTGAACAGAAGGAAGGTGTCCATCTTTCTCTAGACAAGCTGCAGATGGATTCAAAGCAGAGAGGAATCTTCTTTGGGTTAGCATCACAATTTTCTACAGATTAAAACATCAGTTGTTCTTGTTAGGTGCCATCAAGTCAAGTATGATTCACAGTGACCCTATGAACACCAGATCTGAATCCCACCCTATCCTGAATGACCCTCATCTTATCTGTCACATCAGAGCTCCCTAAAACTCAGGTGAGATAAAATATGTGTTTCCATTTCCTTTAACTTGCACTTGTACATGAGTAAATAAAGTATTGTAGTCAGCTACTGGTCTTATTTTGATAGACTTCTCTATTGCTTATTTCCTCAAATGCAGTTGATCTGACTCTTATGAAGCCTATCTGGTGAGGACCATGTATACAGACAGAATTTATACTGTTGAAAAAGGTCTCCCCAGTGAAAAGTCATTAGTCTTGCACAAACTATCACAAGCTATTCACTGTTCTTTAAATAATTAAGGCCATATTTTCTGACTACAGATCTTTCTTGTTTGCAACTTCCATATTCCAATTATCATTAATTATCAATGTATCTTAAATTTGATCAATTTCAGATTTCAATCTGAAAGTTTCCATTTTTGTCAGTAGTGGTTGGTTCATAAATATGAAAATTAGCCCCAATAACTTTCTTGTAGGTATATGGATGTCTTGTTATTTACAGTGCTAAACCTCAGAACAGATCTCATTTTTTTCCCCTTAAATGATGAATATGATGTCAATCCTGTAAAGAACATCAAATGATCACCCAATTCCAAATGGCTTCTCTAGCCAATTTCAGCTCTGTGTGCTCTTTGGCTTAATTTTGTTATATTTATTAAACTTTTTATTTTGATTCAAGTAAAAGTCTAATTCTTTTTTCTTTTAGACAACTTTTAATTTCTGAGACTGATACATTTCCATGTTCCAATTATTAATGGATGTATGCAGCTGTTCTCATTCTGATGTATACTATATGAAACAAATGAAAATCCTAAAAGTTTAACTCCATTCATGGGAATATAGCTGACTTTATTTTGAGGTGGCAGCTCTTTTCCATCATTATTTTGAGTGTGTCTTCCAGTCTGAGAATCTCATCTTCTGGCACTGTAACAGACATATTTTATTGCTATTCACAGTTTTTTCACTAGCCAATTTATGTCTATCTTCTCTGTCTTAGTCCTTAATCTACATGGGTAAGCCTGTTTGTATTTTAAATTACAAAGTCAACTCATGGAAATATACTCAACTCACTGAAATATCCTCAAATGGTATTTCAAGTATTAATTCATGTCATGAAGTTAGAATTGACTCACAGCTGACTCTTTACCAGATTTCTAAGGCTTCAAGGACTCAGGGGGAGAATGCTCTTATTTCTCCCTGGAGAACAAACAGATCTGTCCTGGATAGGGTAAAATCAAGTTTCTCCTTAGAGGCAAGGATTCTGAGGCTCTGTCTTTGGGCATGTGGCCAGAAAGGACCAGTCCTTGGAGAGAGACATCATGCTTGCAAGGGTGGAATGACAGCACAGGAGAGAAAGACTTCAGATGAGATGGACTGACATGGTGACTGGAGTAACGGGGGTAGCTGTGTCAGAGTCAGCGAGACTGGCTCAGGATACACCAAGCTTTAGAGCAATTATACATAGGGTCACTATGAGCTGCAGGCAATTCGATAACCCATAAACCACCACCACAATAGTAGCTGCTTATAGATTTTAACTGTCAAAGAGGCTTTTGGTTAACAGTATCACTGCCTATGGACTTACCCTTTTGGTTAACAGTATCAATGCCTATGGACTACCCCATCAGAAATCATCATTGCTTGATAAAAATGTTTCACTATTTGATATCAAGTTAAAGTTCTAGGAAGGTTAAAGTACTGCAAGTAGGGAAAAATATACTACTTTCTTCCTGACTTGTGGTCTGCAAAGGTTTATACACCCTACTTAAGTATCTCCTTCTATGGCTTTAAAATAGCTCAAATAATTAAAAACATGCATTTGCCTCATAAACAATGGTTTAGATACTTAAAAACCAGAAGTTGTTTTTTAAAAAAAATGTCACTTTCTCTTTAACCTAGTATACCATTAAATTGCCCCTGCCATTAGACAGATACTACAAAAATAGTGAAATGTGTAAAATCCAATTTATATTCTTAAACATAGCTGTTTTCTATATACAGGAGTCCTGAGAGCAGAAAATAGGACATGGGGGCACAAGGCCCTCAGTATCTTTCTGAAAGAGCCAGAGGAAGTAAGAACAGAATAGTCCTTCACTGCCCCAAAGCAGAAAGCTGATAAAAAAAGCCTGTAACCCAGTCCCATGGTGCCTCTAGAGCCATACCAACCACAAGAGATTAGTTTATTCATTGTTGACTCACAGACTTCACTCATAGTTGTGGTACCAAGAATGGGAAATTTATTATGGAAATAAGTTGGAGAGGACAGGAGGCAAAGAATATCACTCAATGTAAATCCAGGTTTTTTAGTCCCAATTCCTCAGCAAGCACAATTCCTCAATTCCTCCAGGCTCAGGTGTCAGTTCAGCAACACAAATTCAAGCAGCCTCTGGTTTCCTCAATCATCCAGCAAGGCTTGCCTCAGAGCAGTGATAAGTCAGCCTCTTCAACTCTTACAGGAACAGAAAAACCTTTAACTGTGGCCTTTATCTCAGGGCTCCTCTGGTTACATCTTGCCAAAGTATTTCGACAGCAATACCACAGTCTCTCTCTTCTACCATCTCCAGGGTCTTGCTTGAGAACCAGGATCTTGCTCAAATCTTGCTGTTCAGCATGGAAAGCAATCTCTCTCTCTGTTTCTCTCTTATCCTGGTCTCACAGATGTTGATGATTTACAAGACCATGTGTCTGCAATAAAGGTAGCTTGGAAACCAGAGGGGCTTAAGGTAATGGCTAGAAAAAGCCAACTATAGGCTAACACTGTACAGGGCCCCAGGATTTAGAATTTAAAGCGTATGGAAGAAAATGAAGACTTTACCTCAGAGAAATAAAAGAGGGCTGACTCACAGAAGAGAATGTCAGCCAGGTAAACAGTTCCACTGGTTAGTACTTCAATCTGATATTTACAGAAATGGTGACTTCTTAGAAACTCACTAAAGTGTCTGCAAAATGACAAAAAGGAAAAATTTGAGAGAATGATTAAAGAAAGCACTTACTAGGAAAAAATGACATACCTTCTATTGTTATATGCTGCTGAGTCAGAACTGAACCATAGCTGACCCTCCTCCAGGTTTTCACAGGCAGTAAACTGCAAAGGAGGACACTGTCCATCCTTCTCCGGTGGAGCAGCTGGGGGATTCTAATTGTGTGCCTTTGTGATTGCAGTGCAGCTTCTTACCATTATACCAACAGAGCTCCCTGGCACTTACTATTATGGTTCCTATTTGTATCATAAAACCTTAGGTTAACACAACATCACTCCACTATTGTATTATCAGATTCCATTACCTCTAAGTAATCTCTTTCACCTCTTAATGATGTTGTAGCTGTGTGCTAAGATTTAGACACAATATTTGTATTACAGTAACCAAAGAACTCAACTCACAGTATCTCATATTACAGTAACCAAAAAATTAAAATTATCTGAAGAAGTAAAGCCTCCAAAGTACACACTATGGCCAACTAGCTTTAAAGATGGCGTTGACCCGCAGACTTCTGGGATTTGTAGTTACTCGTACCTGTGTGGTGTAGGTAGCACTGAGAAGCTTTCCCTCCATGCTCACAGGCTGTACCCTGGCTCTGTCTCCCTCTGTCCTCAGTATGTCCAACTATCTTACACAACGTACTCTTAATACATATTAAATGAAAGAATACAAACATTCATATTTCTTAATACCCTCAAGTGATATGAAAGTGAAAAACGACATCTTTAAATTAGGAAATATTTTCATCACACTATAGTCACACATAGGGAGCTCCAGTGGCTTAGTACTAAGGAACTGCACTGACAACTAGCAACAGTGTCAGTCTAGAGACTAAAGTGTGTCTGATCCAGTTTGAATCCCCCAACTGTTCTACCAAAATAAGGTAAGTAATTCCTTCTCACGAAATTTACTGCCTCAGAAACTCCACAGAAGGATCAGTTATAACTCAATTCCACCTCAAACTGTACTGATAACAGCTAGACGGTCACAATCAGGGAGCTCTGGTGGCCTAATGGTAAGGAATTGTGCTGCAAAGGCAAACGGTTCAAATCCATCAGACACTCCAAAAAAAGAAAGGTGGGTTAAGTCCTGTGTGATGTACAGCCTCTGATAAATAGCTGGAGATCAGCCAACATTATAAGGCTATTTACATTAAAGGAAAGCCTTTTTGAGATTTAACAGAGTTCAGATATCATCTATTTAAAAGAAACCATTAAACAAGATGGACTTAAAACATACTTGTATGATCCAGAAACATTTAAAATATTTAAATTCATGAAGATAATTTTATTTTAGTTAATGGCAAATGCAATTCTTAACAATGAATCCAAATTTCCAAGAGCACAGAATGTAGACATTTGAAATTAACTCACTCTTGCTCCATTGCACTGAAGACTATGGACTGTGCCAAAACAAAACAGTTGGGATCCACCTGTCCATCTTCTCCACATATCTTAGCTGAAAAAGAAAAATTAACTAATGAAATTCCTAGTAAATTCAAGCTAAATACACTTGTGAATCAAACAAATAATATTAAGGGTACACAAACCCAAAGGCTTAAAATATTACTAATTAATTATACAAATAAAGAACTCGGGTCCACAATCAACATTCATGGCATAAGCAGTCAGGAAATCAAAAGATGAATTTCATTAGGTAAATCTGCTGTCAGGGACCTCTCTGGAGTACTGAGAAGCAATGATTCCAGTCTAGAGACTAAAGCTTGCTTGATACAGACATGGTCTTTGCAACTGCTTGCTCTATAGCAGAGAGCTGGATAATGACTATGAAAGAAAGAAAAAGGATCAATGCCTCTGAATTGTGGTGTTGGAGGGGTCTTGAATATACCATGGACTGCCAAGAAAACAAACAGATCTGTCCTGGAAAGGGTGAAACCAAATTTCTCCTTGGAGTCTAGAATTCACATACTTTGGGCATGTTGTCAGGCATGACTGATCCTTGGAGAAGAATATGCTCAAGTGGAGAGACAATGCGTAAGAGGAAGACCCAAGATGAGATGGACTGATACAACTGGGGTAATCAGGGTATGTGTGTCAGAGTCAGTGAGGCTGGCTAAGGGTAGGGCAGGCTTCATAGCTGTTGTACAAAGGGTTGCTACGAGGTGCAGGGGACTCAATGGCACAAACGACAAAACACACACCCATATATTTATATGAAAACAGTAATCTTGAAGTAAGAAAGTCTTTCTACACATACATACAAAAGCAGAAATTAAAAGATGTAACATAAAATTAGTTTCTGACTTATTTATTGCAAACACATTTTGTAAGAAATCTAAATACAGGCTACACCATGGATTTCACCTGACAGTATGTATAGGAATCAAATAGATTACATCTGTGGAAAGAATCTCTGAAGAAGCTAAATATCAGCTGTGAAAACTAGACCAGGTGCTGATTGTGGAACAGATTACCAACGACTCATATGCAAATTCAGCTGAAGCTGAGGAAAATGAAATCACATCTACGGAAACCAAAATTTGACCTTGAGTCTACCCTGCCTGAATTTCAAATCCATCTCAGGAACAGGTTTGAGACCTTGAACACTAATGAGTGAAGATGAAATGACCTGTGGGAGGATATCATCCAGGAAGAATGCAGAAGTTTGCTACAAAGTAGAGGAGGATGAAAAGACCAAGATAGATGTCAGAAGAAACTCTAAATATTGCACTAGAGCACTGAGAAGCCAAAGCAAAGGGAAGAAATCAAGATATTAAGAAGCTGAACAGAAGATTCCAGAGGGCAGTGCAAAAAGACAAAATAAAATATTACAATGAAAATGTGCAATGAGTTGGAGTCAGAGAATCAAAAGGGCCAAACATGTGCAACATTTCTTAAGCTGAAGGAACTGAAGAACAAATTCAAGCCTTGAGTTGCAATACTTAAGGATGCTTTGAGTAGAATATTAAATGATCCAGGAAGCATTAAAAGAAGATAGAGTATATACAGAGTCACTGTACCAAAAAGAATGGGCAGACACAGAAGAATTTCATGAAACAATGTATGAGCAAAAGCCTGCGGTGAGGAAGGAAGTAGTTCAAGCTGCTCTGAAAGAATTGGCAAAACCAAGGCCCCAGGAATTGTTGGCATACCAACTGACATATTTCAAAAAACAGATGCTGCCCTGGATGTGCTCACAAAGTTGTACCAAGAAGTCTGGAGGACAACCACCTGGCCAACTGACTGGAGGAGATATGTATTTGTTCCCATTCCAAAGAAAGGTGACTCGACAGAGTGAGGAAATTATTTAACAGTATCACTGATATCACATGCAAGCAAGATTCTGTTGAAAATTATCCAAAAATGCCTGGAAGAGCATATCAATAGATAACTGCCTGAAGTCAGGCTGGGTTTAGAAAACACGGTGGAACTAGCGATATTATAGCTAATATCAGATGGATCTTGGCTAAAAGCAGAGAGCACCAGAGGATTGTCTATGTTTCATTGACTATTCATTGACTAAGGCATTTGACTGTGTGGATCACCACAAACTGTGGCTTACTCTGAGTAGAATGGGAATCTCACAACACTTGGTTGTACTTGTGTGAAACCTATACTTGGACCAGAGGCAGGTATCAGAACAGAACAAGGGAACACTGCATGGTTAAAAATTGGGAAGGGTGTCCACGAGGGATGTCTTCTATCTCCATACTTTTTCAATCTATGTGGGCAAAAGGTTATCTGGAAGGCTAGGCTGTATGAGGAGAAATGTGGCATCAGGATTGGAGGAAAACTCATCAAAAATCTGCATTATGCAGATAACACAACCGTGCTTGCTGAAACTGAGGAGGACCTGAAGTGCTTGAGGCCGAAGGTCAGGGACTGCAGCTTTCAATATGGATTGAAAGATTGTCACCACTGGGCCGACTGGCAACATCATGATAGAATGGTGAAGAGACTGAGATTGTTAACAGCTTTACTCTGCTTGGCTCTACAATCAACACTCTTGGAACCAGCAGGCAGGAAATTAAAAGACGAATTGCATTCAGAAAGTCAGCTGTCAGAGACCTCTCCAAAGTACTGAAGAGCAACAATGAAGTCTGGAGACTAAGGTGCGTGTGATACAGACCATGGTCTTTGCAATTACTATACATCAGAAAGCTGGACAATGACTAGGGGTGATAGAGTATTGATGCCTTTGAGCTGTGGTGCTGGACCGAGAGGAGAACAAACAAGTTCCTTCTAGAGAGGGTGAGACCAGGCTTCTCCTTGGAGGCAAGGATTCTGAAGCTTCATTTGACATACTTTGGACATGCTGCAAGGCGAGACAGTTCTTAGAGAGGGACAGCGGAATAGAGGAAGACCCTTGATAAGGTGGACTGATTCAGTGACTGGGGTAAAGGGTGTAGGTTTTGTTAGAGACAATAAGATTGGCACAGGAAAGAGCAGGGTTTAGGGCTGTTGTACATAGGGTAACTGAGTCACAGGCGACTCGATGGCACATAACAACACGACATATATTAAAACACTTCCTGGTGCCCCTATATGAAAGGATTATACTGGGAGTGGGGAATCTGTAGCATACATGACAGTTAAGAAGCTACTATCATAAACACATCAAGATTTCTTCTAAACTAATAAGCAATGAAGCACAAGAAAACTACCACAGACTGCAAAGACAAAAAAAGAAAATATAAAGATTATGCTTAAATGTATTTTTATATTTTCTTTTCAAAACTTGAAAAACTATGAAATGGTCAGTATAAAAAGATACACATGTTCACAGTAAACATAAAGAGACATACAGGTAAAGTAAAAAGGCATTACTATTTTTGTCCAGTAGATTAACACAAAATTGTTCTAATAATAAAAAGCTCACTGCTGTATGAGATGATTCTGACTCACAGCAATCTCACAGGACAGAGTAGACTGTCTCCATAGAGTTTCCAATGTTTCTCTCATGGATTGTTTAAAACAATGACCTTTTGTTTGGCAGTCAAACTCTTCACTATCAGAGCTCCAGTTTTAACAAATGCTGTTAGGTGCTGCCAACTTAGTTTTGCCTCACAACAACTCAATGAACAAGAGAACCAAACATTGTCAGATTCTGTACTATATTCACATTTTCTGTGCTTAAGCCTCTTTTTCACTGTGTCAATCCAGCTCATTAAGAGTCATCCTTTTTTTCAATGACCCTCTACTTTTGTAATCAAGATGTTGCTCTTCAGGGAGTGGACTCTCATTACCTTGCCTAGGGTAGTTTTTTCCCCCTATTGTTATTTTATATTGGTTTACACATAAAATTAATATACTCTGTGGATCATTCATGAACACTGCACTTTACACATTCCTACAGTCACACAGTTTCTCAAATGAATACTCACATACATGTGTTTTAATTTTATAAAACACATACATTAAGTTCATAATCACCACTGATCTATTACTATTTCCCTGACTTCAGTTCCAACCTCCTCCAATCTTTTCAGGTCTTCATTGGATCTTTCCTAATTCCTTCACCCTCTTCCTTCCCCTCTTCTGCTGCTCCCTCCACTTAGCAAACTCTGTTCTTCTAGTGATTTCCTCCTCTCCCCTCCCTCGGCCTCCCTGCACACCCTTCCTCTTTTAGACTTTTAATAATCTTACTGATAATCCTTCTATTTTTACAGCAATAGTCTTATGCATTATTTGTTAAGAAACTGAATTAGAGGGGAGCTCTGGTGGCCTAGTGGCAAGAAGCTGCACTGCAATCCCAGAGGCACATGGTTCAAATCCACCAGATGCTCTGCCGAGAAAGGAGGGATAATCTCCTCCTGTATCAGTCAGATCCGATTTGACGGTACACACAAAATAATAAAAATTTAAAAAAATTAAAGAATTAAAAAAAAAATACAACCCTGAGTTAGTTCACTCAACATTACATTTTCTAGCCTCTCCTATTGTTATATTGCATTTCACAAAAGCATTGCTCTTTGGTGCTGCATAGTATTCCATGGTATGAATGTACCATAATTTCTCAATCCATTTATTTGTTGATGGATATCTGGACTGTTTCCATGTTGCTGCTATTGTGAATAATGCTGAGATAAACACAGGTATACAAATCTCCATTTGTTTCTCAGTTCTATTTTCTTTTGTGTATAGTCCCAGAGCTGGGTCATATGGAGTTTTTAAGTTCAGTTGTTTGAAGAAACACCAAACTGCCTTCTAGAGTGGCCGTATCATTTTATAATCCCACCAGCAGTGCATGGAACTCCAATCTCTCCACCATTTATTGCTTGTTTTCATGTTAAACTTTACCACATCTACTGGGGTGAGATGGTATCTCATTTTGGTTTTGATTTGCAACTATCTTACTGAGAGTGACTTTGAGCATTTCTTCACGTGTCTGTGAATGTCTTCCTTTGTGAAGTATTTCCATGTCTTTTGCCCATTTTTGTTATTGGGTTATCAGTATTTTCTTTGTAGAAGCCCTGCAGTATTCTGTAAACCTTCATT